GGACTGCTTGTAATGTGAGTGATACTCTTTACTCTTTGAATAAACAAAGTTTACTAAAGTACTACACTTAGAGGTTTTTCTTGGCTCACTGGATTGGTGAGCTATTATCCTTCAGAACCACCTTGACTGATCAGGGGCACTAGGAGCCCCACAAAGGAGATCCAGGGAAGGAAGGAAGCTGCTGGCCATTATAAATCAAGGATCCAGGGTGATCCTGCAAGCCTGTTGGCCCCTTTGGGGTCATTAGGAGGAGGTGAGGAGGCAATCTAGCCGTTAACAGGAGAAGAGTTTGGCACAGTCACGGATTTATTTAATTATCACTGTTGCACACTGCATGATTTTATTCATTTCCACAAAAAGACATTGTTTAAGATTGTCTTTCATCAAGGAGGACACATTTATAAATTTTCATTTTTTTTGGCACTGTGTGAGCACTGCTAAGAGTTCCCTCATTGGATTAAGTTTGGATTTTTTGGCTTAATTTTAGTAGATGTGTGTACACTATCCATATGTTTGTGTGAAATAGTAGTCACATATTATTTATATGTCGGTACACGTATTTCTTAAATGGGTGATAGATTTCTTTTTGGAATCTTAGTTTGGCACTTATTTTTTGTCACTATTGTATATTATAATATTTTATATTGATTTATTTATTTTTAGGAATTAATATTGTGTACTCTTAAGAGCTGTAATTCCTAAACCTTTCCTCCAGTTTGGATGTACATGCCCATATCCATTATCTAACTATAGCTTGAATATGTTTTGGTAAATACCTGAAAAAAACTAAAATTGTGCCTGTGTCCAAATATATATGGACCTAACTGTAAATCCTGTATAATAATAAATCCACCTCACTTTCTCCTCCAGTGACTGAGGTTTTTGCAACCAATAGTGAGGTTGGGTCTCCCCAAAAAGAACACAAACATCCATAAAAATGTAACAGAGGTTCTAACCCTTCCCTGCTCTATCCAACACTGGAAATAAAAGTTTTGTGTAGTTATGCTTTATTCCGTATATAGGATGTAGAGTGTCTTTTATAGGTAAGTGTGTGATAGAAACACACACACACCTTAACCTGTCCAGCAGGGCTGGTGCTAGACTATTTTGCACCCTAGGCAAGACCAGCTACTTGCGCCCCCCAACAAAATAAATGAATTAAAAAAATTTAAATAAAAACTGTAAAAAAATATTAAATCAACAAAACATGAAACTGCTAAATTTCTTTTAATTTGCAATAAAATAAGTGCCACCAGCACCAATATTAAAGACAAAATCAGTGTCACGGATGGACTGTATCTGTGGTGGACAGTGGCAGGGTGACAGTTGCAGTGAGTGGAGGATGATGGATCCACACTGACAGATCCTGGGCTTGAATTCCCAAAGGAGGGAGATAAAACGCTGTGACATCAGGCAGCCCAGCTCACACACACACACACACAGAGAACACCTGAACCACGCGATCCCACACAGTGACAGATCCGACACAACACACCAACACTGACATAGATCAGCAAGCTCAACTAGAAGAGCAGGCTTTGGGATCATAATGTCATCTCTCACTGACACATATCACATGTGATGGATGGCAGGCCAGCGGGCTCACAGACACAAGACATCCAAGACAGATATTACCTTCCTCTGCAGACGCTGTTCCGCCTCCGCTGATGAATGGGAAGAGAAGGGCAGGAACTCCACAGTGATCAGCAGCCACCAGCTGGCTTGCAGTAAGGAATTGAATCTGAGAAGAACACTGGAGGGAGCTGCAGCTCAGCTGCTACACTGGCCCAAGACACCTGGCATCTTTTGCTGTCTTTTCTCCCTCCCCTCTGCTGCCCCGCCCCTCAGCTGAATGATCATTCATGACGTGGCGGCGTCCCACACAGCGAGAGCACCCAGCCTGAGCTGCGCCCAGGCACCTCTAGGTGGCAGTGCGCCCTGAAGACCTCATACATCATCCCTAATGAGGATTCCACAGAAGGATATGTGTCTTTATGGATTTTATGCTCTATATACAGCAAAACTGACAATTCTTCAGTAATACTGGGAAAGTCCATTTCACCAGTCATCCTGCCAGCAGAGCAATAGGTGAATGGCTTTACAATGTTCTGAAGGAAAGGTCACCTCTTGCACAGTGCTTGGGAGGTAATGAGGAGTAACAAATCAAAAAGCAATAATGGTTATGGGTATCACCCCATTCTCCTGTAAAATGAGAGGCCTGTACTGTTTAATGATCCTGTCCTTGTTCCTCACAGCTTAACATGAATACAAACTCCCCTTATGTCTATCATGCATTTCCTTCTTACAAAAAAATTTCGATTCAATAAGAATAATATATTTTGCTGCAGCGGAAAATAGCAGAATGCTCTGGTGCTATACAGACAGTCTTTATTTTATATATTTGCTATTTGTGGATCAGCGTAATTGATTTATGAAAACAGCAGTTGTTGCACAGATCAACTTTGTGCTTGTTTTACTTCAGAAGTACATGTTTGTGAGTCAAAGGTTTTACCTGGTTTGTTACTGTAAGCAACAGCCTTCATTTTCATTTGGAACAAGGAAACTACTTGCTCTTCTGGGGAAAATGGATATATGATAGCGGGATAGGTCTTTAAAATAATCTTTAAATTTAATAGGCAGGTCATGCAGCCCACATATGCATAAAGACTAGGAAGGTCCAACAGATTGGACAGAATAGAATGAATATGTAAAACAGGTGCAGGGATCATAAAGGGAGTTTACAGCTTCTCCTCAAAAGTTTCCACACTCTAGCAGAAATTATGAAATCTTGGCGTTTATATTGAAAATATGACTGTTCATGTCTTTTATTTAAGGATAGTGATCATATGAAGCCATTTTTTTTTTCTTTCAAATTCTTTATTTACAAAAAGTATCCTACCCAACAAACTGCCTCAGTACAGAAATAGCAATAATGTCTCACAAGAAGATCATAAATGATACATAAGACATGCTAATATAACAATATTTATGAGATAAAAAATAAGCAACCTCTACACAGGATGCTGGTAAACGAATACAATGGAAAAAAAGCACAGCTACTCTTAAGTGGGCAACTCAGGGGTATAGAAGTTATCCTGGAGACTAGGTGATAGCAGTGTAAAACATTGGAATGAAGACACATTGTGGATCACTAAAAGGAATAACACTTCCCTTAATACAACACTGCCTGGTATAAGGCCGCATTGCAGGCACAGGCTGAATACCTGTTTTTTAGTTAATAGGAAAGAACTGGGAATAACAAATGAAGCCATTTTTTAGCACATAGTTATTTGGCTCCTGTTTAAATCCTAATGATAACAGAAATCGGTCAAATGGCCCTGATCAAATGTTTACATACCCTGCAATGTTTGACCTTCGTACAGACTCACAAGGTGACAGAGACAGGTTAAAATGGCAATTAAAGGTAAATTTGCTACATATATGGCTTTTTAACCAGTTTCCAACTGCGCTATAGTCAAAGGATGGCTACAGCGCGGTTGTCTAGTTCTGGGACGACATCCATGGATGTTATTCCAGAACATGCCCCCCCCCCTTCTCCTCCGCACACCCTGCCGGTGATCGCTGTGCCCTATGGACACAGCTGATCACATGGTACGGTAAACGGCCAATCACGGTGGCCTGTTAACACGTGTCCAATGACACAGCAGATCACCGGGTAAATATGGTTGCCGGTTATCGGCTGCACTTTCCTCACGCTGTCACAGCATGAAGAAAGTACTGCCGAGAAACGGCAATTGTCAGCGAAGGCATCGGAACTGATCATCAGGGCACTGATGATCAGTGCCCAGCAGTGCCACCCACCTGTGCCTGCAGTACCACCCATCAGTGCTGCCTATCAATGCTGCCTATCTGTGCCACCTCATCAGTGCTACCCATCAGTGCTGCCTCATCAACGCACATCAGTGATGGAGAAAAATTACCTGTTTGCAAAATTTTAAAATAGAAACAAAGAATAACTTTTTTTTTTCAAATTTTTTGCTGTTTTTTTTTGTTTATAGCGCAAAAAATAAAATGCCCAACGAAAGGGCATTTAAATACCACCAAAAGAAAGCTCTATTTGTATGAAAAAAATTATACAGATGTCATATGTGTACAATGTGGCATGACCGCGCAATTGTCATTCAAAATGCGACAGCATTAAAAGCTGAAAATTGGCTTGGGCATTATTGTGAGCTCTTATTTTTTATGGATACTTGCTGGGAGGAGAAGGTTTGTTTAAAGAGGTATTACTACTTGGAGCAGAAAGATTGATGTAGTGTCGAGAGCGAACCATAGTAAAAAAGCAATCATCTTTAATGTGAGGCATTGATTTATGGTGAGTGAGATAAACCTCACTTTGGGAGTGGCTATTATGAGAACTGAACAGTGGGAGATGGATGTGGATTTTTTGGGACACTTATGGTGGAACTTTTAATACACATTTATGTGGTGGACTTGTATAATTTGGACTTAAATTTCTTTTGAGTTATTTGTTTTAGTTTAATTTTTGATATTTTTACATATTGACTCCACTTATGCGATAACATTTTTGTAGGGTGTAGCGCCACTTTGAGTCTATATATTTAAGTTTTTCAGACACTCTTTGTAATTGGGTCATTCATTTATAAAGGGGTAACAACACTATTTTTGTATGCATATTTACACATTTTATATGATAGTTTGAGCTTTTTTCACGTGGTATCATTTTTGCAACATTTTTTAGGCTTCTTGGGTGAGGTGTGAATTGATGTTATGAGGAAATTGCATAAGTCCACTGTATATATGGATATAACGTGAGCATAAAGTATCTTCTTTGTGATACATGGCTGCTCTATGCGGATTATATTGATCCTTCAACTATTGTTCTAACTATGAGCAAAAGCAAACAGAAGATTCTACAAAGGAAAACGGAAGTGCCATGTAAACTATGGACTGAGTTATATTCTATCTATAAATTTTTTTTTACATTTCTCATGTCTGCTTACCTATCTCTGTTTCAGTTACAGCTCCCAATCATCAGGTGCGCACAGTGGTCAGAATGAACAGAAACATAAGAAAAGGGGGAACTTTCAGTTTTGCACTGGTCAGCTGCCACAGTATACTGTACTGAATGCATTTAGCGTGGTAAGTTAACCTATACTTTATTAATATTTGGACAGGTAGGTTACATTTCAGTGCTTGTCACTACACTCCAAATGCAGCCCCGTTTAAAATCCAAGATATTCCAGCATTCTTCAAGCCTCACACAATGCATCAGTGCTCAGTACCTGAACTGCCAGTCAACAGGCTTAAAGGGTAACTCCACTTTTGTGCGAAAAAATAGCAACTAAAACAAAAATAATATAGCGTATACAGTTGTGACTGAAGTCATAATGTAATTGTTATTAAAAATTACCTTTCCTTTTCAGTCTGCAGCGCTGTAGTTTTCTGTGAAATGCAATATGGCAACCTGGAGGTGTTCTGTACAAAGATGGTATACAGAACACCACCCCACAAATGTAATTTCCTGTTTTTGTGATTGGCTCACTGATTTTTCTGCAATAGATACAAGTCAGATTTTGGGATTCCCCTGCAACAACTTCATTTCAGTGAGCTACTCCCAAAGGGAAATCATGTCGAAAGGGGTGCAGACCCAGCCACTTTCCTAATTAGACACTGCAAGTGCAGCAGCTGATTGAGAACTATAAAATCATGCCTATTAGATTCACTCTGTACATGGACACAGATAAACAAACACATGCCTCTTCAGAATAACAAGGTAGGAATCTGTAACAAAGTTTGTTAAAATCCTTGCCATGTACATAGATCACCCAGAGGGGAATTTTTTTTTTTCTCAACAAAAATGGAGTTACTCTGTAAAGATTTTCACATGGAGGTCAGAGCACTTGTTTTACAGTGTTCAAATATCCACTTTCAGAAACTTTGGATTACATAGGGTGTCTTCAATTTGCCGACGACAGGTGTGTTTCAATACAAGTGTGTAGGAGTAGGGACATAACAATAGCAATTTGTTTGTTAAGAATTATGTCTCCAGCACCACCCTGAGATTTACTGAGCACCTTCACTTTCTGCATTTTGCACCTATAGTATTACCAGGCCTGAATATGGTCACCCTTTTCCATGCAAGGATGAAAAAGTATAACATATGGGGTATACTCTAAAAGGCGATGAGGGAAGTTATGAATGAACATGTAAAGACATGACGATTATTTGGAGATACAACTTCAGCTAAAAAATGTGTTGCATAGATTGTAAACTAGCATATGCCTTTTGAAACTTAACAAAAAATAACAGTAGCTAAACCAGAAAAATATTTACAGCGAGGTTGAAAATATCAGTTTCACCCTTAGAATTTATTTCCTTTGTTCATTATCTTTAGTGGGACTAGAAAAATGGTAAGTGAAATCTTTGTGGTTGCTGTGCCTTGCACAGACCCTGTATAGCACAACTCTACCCAATGTGTTTGTTTTTCCTCAACTTAGTCTTCATGTGGTTTTTTTTCGGGTGCTAGCAGAAAAATCTCCCCCAATCTTCTTAGGTTCCCAATGTTGCTTACTAAAGTAAACCTTCATATATTGCTAAAGAGACATCACTGATAGGCAAGTCTTGTAGCATGTTTGTGTCCTATGCCCTTCTAGAGGACTCTCCATAGGAATATATACTATCTAGAGGACTCTGATGTGAAATTAGGTAAGGGGGAGGGGGATTGGGACGAGGACTGTGAAGTGAAAAAGCATGTGTGTGTGTGTGTGTGTGGTGTGTGGGGGGGGGGCTTGAGGACCCTGATTTTAAAGTGTGGGACTGAGGACTGTGATGTGAAAGGGGAAACTTTGATGGAAAATTAGAGAAGGGATGGCCAGGTTTGGGTGAGGACTCTAAAGTGAAAATGGGAGGGGGGGGGGGGGGGGGCTGAGGGCTCTGATTTAACATTGGGTTGACCAAGGACTGTGATATGGAAGAGGGGTGGAGGATACTGACGAGGCAGGTACACATAGAAGGATACGCTTTGTTCATTTTTCATTCCAGAGGTTTACAAGCACTTTAACTACAAGAAGCCAGTCTAAAGATTATTTTTCCTTCACTTGCTTGTGTAAGCATCAAAACACTAGTGTCTGCAGTAGCCCCAAGGACTGCATAGTAAGTGCCAAAGGGCCGCTGAGCCAACTAAGGTGTAACCAATTTATTTAGAGCCCTTGTATAGCTCTTTTATTTCTCATCCTCACTAATAAAACTAAGTGTGTGTGTGACTAGTCTTCACTCTTTCTTCGTGTCTCACAGGGAGCCACAGCTGTGATTTTCCTGCATTTAGCTCGCCAGGCATCATTGTACTGTCGCACCAATAAACCTCAGGAAGACAGGTGCTCACGGCGCAGTTACCTGGAACAGATCCTCTCATCTCTTTATCAGTGCAGCAGATCGTGTAAGTAGTATGTGCTTAATTAAATATATATGTTATACAAATTTTTTATAAATACAAATTTTTTATGTTTCTTTAACAGCATTACTTTATTTCTACCACTCCTGACCCACTGCAGGCCATGAAATTTACAGGTGAAACTCGAAAAAATTAGAATATCGTGCAAAAGTTCATTTATTTCAGTAATGCAACTTAAAAGGTGAAACTAATATATGAGATAGACTCATTACATGCAAAGCAAATCCACAATCTCAGAAAAATTTGAATATTACATGCAATCAATAAAACAAGGATTGTACATACTGTAGAACAATATCGGACCTCTGAAAAGTATAAGCATGCATATGTACTCAGTACTTGGTTTGGGCCCCTTTTGCAATTACTGCCTCAATGCGGTGTGGCATGGACGCTATCGGCCTGTGGCACTGTTGAGGTGTTATGGAAGACCAGGATGCTTCAATAGCGGCCCTCAGCTCTTCTGCATTGTTCAGTCTCATGTCTCTCATCTTTCTCTTGGCAATGCCCCTTAGATTCTCTATGGGGTTCAGGTCAGGCAAGTTTGCTGGTCAATCAAGACCAGTAATCCCACGGTCATTGAACCAGGTTTTGGTGCTTTTGGCAGTGTGGGCAGGTGCCAAGTCCTGCTGGAAAATGAAGTCAGCATCCCCATAAAGCTCGTCTGTGGAAGGAAGCATGAAGTGCTCCAAAATCTCCTGGTAGATGGCTGCATTGACCCTGGACTTAATAAAGCACAGTGGACCAACACCAGCAGATGACATGGCTCCCCAAATCAACACAGACTGTGGAAACTTCACACTGGACTTCAAGCATCTTGCAGTGTGTGCCTCTCCATTCTTCCTCTATACTCTTGGTTCTTGGTTTCCAGATGAGATGCAAAAGCTGCTCTCATCAGAAAAGAGAACTTTGGACCACTGAGCAACAGACCAGGTCTGTTTTTCTTTAGCCCAGGTAAGACTCTTCTGATGTAGTTTGTTGTTCAGGAGTGGCTTGACAAGAGGAATACGACATTTGAAGCCCATGTCCAGGATCCATCTGTGTGTGGTAGCTCTTGATGCACTGACTCCAGCCTCAGTCCACTCCTTGTGAAAGTCCCCAACACTTTTGAATGGCCTTTTCCTGACAATCCTCTCCAGGCTGCAGTCATCCCTGCTGCTTGTGCACTTTTTTCTTCCACACTTTTCCCTTCCACATGACTTTCTATTAATGTGCTTTGATACAGCACTTTGGGAACATCCAACCTCTTTTGCAATTACCTTTTTGAGGCTTTCCCTCATGGAGGGTGTCAATGATGGTTTTCTGCACAACTGTCAGGTCAGCAGTCTTTCTCATGATTGTGATTCCTACTGAACCAGACTGAGAGACCATTTAAAGGCTCAGGAACCCTTTGCAGGTGTTATGGCTTAATTAGCTGATTAGAGTGGGACACTTTGAGCCTAGAATATTGCACCTTTTCACAATATTCTAATTTTCTGAGATTGTGGATTTGGGGTTTTCATGAGCTGTAAGCCATATTCATCACAATTATGACAAATCACGGCTTGAACTATCTTGCTTTGCATGTAATGAGTCTATCTCATATATTAGTTTCACCTTTTTAAGTTGCATTACTGAAATAAATGAACTTGTGCACGATATTCTAATTTTTTTTAGTTTCACCTGTATATGAGAAAAAAAAATCCCATCCATTTATGTTCATTGCTTAGTACTTCAGGATCACACTGCCACTTGTGAAAATGCCAGTTCTTCAGGCCAGGACTTTCATTACTCAGGATAGTCCCAATATTACAAACATAAATTGGGTATAGAAAAGAATCGCCCCTTTGAGATAATCATATTTTGTTGTTTTTTTGCCTGAAATGAAGACAGACATACAGTTTTTGGTTTACCCAGCTATATTTACTAAGTGCAACTTATAACATTCAAGTGAAAGATATAACAGCAATATGTCGGAAAAAATTCAAAAACAGAATCACTGAGTTGGAAAAAGGATCACCCCCCTGTGTCAGTATTTTGTTGAACCACCTATTGATTTAATTACAGCCATTAGTCTGTTGGGATTTGTCTCTACTAACTTTGCCCATCTAGACTTTGCAACATTTGTCCACTCTTCTTTGCAGAACTGCGCAAGTTCAGTTAAATTTGATGGTGCCCGCTTGTGGACTGCAGTCTTTAAGTCATTCCACAGATTTGCAATGGGGTCTAAGTCTAGGCTCTGACTAGGCCATGCAAGGACATTCACCTTTTTGGCCTTCAGCCACTGTGTGGTGTTTTTTCTATGTTCTTTGGGTCATTGTCATGTTGGAAGGTAAACCTTCTTCCTATTGGCAGCTTTCAGGCAGAGGGCAGCAGTTTTTCCTCTAGAATTTGATGATATTTTGCCCCATCCATCTTTTGCTTCTATCCTGACAAGTGCTCCAGTCCCTGCTGCAGAGAAACACCCCATAACAGGATCTTACCACCTTCATGCTTTACTGTAGAAATGGTGTTATTTGGATGGTGAGCTGCATTGGATTTCTGCTAGACATATTTTGTGTTGAGGACAAATAATTACATTTTAGTCCCATCTGATCATAACACCTTTTTCCATCTGGCATCAGAATCTTCATAGTGCGTTTTGGCAAAGCTCAGTCGTGATTGCATGTGGCCTTTCTTGAGGAATGGCTTTTTTCTTGCAACCCTCCCATACAAGCCACATTTGTGGAGAAATTGTAATATTGTAGTCACATGCACACAATGACCACTCTTTATCATAAATTCCTGAAACTGCTTCAGAGTTGCTGTAGGCCACTTGGTACCCTCTCTGACCAGTTTCCCCCTGGCTCCTCTTTCCAGTTTAGAGCGACATCCTGATTCAGGGAAGGTCTGTGTTGTACCAAATACCTTCCACTTAATAATAGACTTCACTGTGCTTCTAGGCATTGATAAAGTCTTTGAATTTTTTTTGTATCCATCTACTGACTTGTACCTGTCCACAACATTATCCTGGAGATCTTTTGACAGTGCCTTGCCACCCATGGTTGCTTGTTTGCTTCTTTCAGCTGCACTACCAGGGACTGAAATGCTCCAGGAAAGCTCTTTTCATGCTGAGCTAATCAAAATGAGCACAGCTGATCACAGTTGAAAGTCAAATGGCTTTGTGTGCCATTGAGAAGATGATTAGCTACACCTGATTGAGTGTAAAAGTCATATTTCAGAGGGGGGTGATCCTTTTTCCAACTCAGTGATTCTGTTTTTGAATTTAATAAAAAAAAAAAAAAAAAAGGCTGACATGTTGGTGTTTTATATTTCACTTTGATATTATAATTTGCACTAAGAAACTGCAGCTGGATAAAACAAAAACTGTGTACGTCTTCAATTCGGTCTGCAAAGCAACAAAATGTGATTATTTTAAAGGGGGGGTAATTCAATGTGATAATTTTAAAGGGGGCTGATTCTTTTCCATACCCACTGTATATGAAGTGTTCTCTGCAACCTCATGCATGTCTGATTGCAGGGTTTGCTATACTGTCTTTGGAAATGTCACCTCATATTTACCCCTTCATGGCAAAGGTAAAACAAACCTTAATGCGTGAAGCCAGCTTAGCAACTTTAGCATGTTTAGTAAAAGCGTACCTATATTCACTTCTACTTAGTGCATTCAGGTGAACTATACTTTGTTTTTGTTTTGTTTTTTCAGGACAAATTTGGTCTTCGTTTGTTGGTAATTTTTTTTTTTTTTTTATGCTACCAAGAGAAAATTGGCCCAAACATATTTTTGGAATTTAGCTCTATATTTGTTGTCTTGAGTGGTCATTTTAATGGGCTGCTGTACCTGCAGGAAACATGTCCCCGAACTTCTTTTAAAACTGCGGCGTTAGGCTGCTGCACCATGTGATTTTTGCACACCTGAAAACACTCTGCATTTTCAGATGCATGAGGGTGCCATTAAGAATCGGTGGCACCCCTGTTCGTTCATCTGTTAAAGAGCAGCTCGTTTTGCCTGTAGGTTGGGAAATGCGTGCAATTGGCACGTGTTCCTAGAAGCACATATGTGTGAACCAAGACTTCAACACTTTGACCCTGACCTTTGGTCCTGATCCTAACAATTACCTAGATAAACCCTGGTCCAGCTATTTTATCTTTATTTTAATTTATTTTTACGCAACACTTTTTGTTTTTGTTTTACAGACTTTTTTTCTAGCTGCGCACTACCAGCACAAACAGGTACACACATATGTGACCCACAGAAGGCAAATCACTTCAGTAAGGCCGCATATGTGTGTACGCTCAGTGGGAAGGGTGTAATTAATATGCTAGCTCATGGCATCATGATGTCACTCACTGCTTACCATTTGGTTGTGGAAGTTAAAGAAACATATATCATATCATGGCCTGAGATAAGTAAAGTAAGTGCAAACATGGTAGGAACGCAAATTCAAATCAATACATCACTGTATTATTTTACCTTCATAACACCATATTTTATCCATATGTGAGATCCAGACACATTGCCAGTTCAGGCTTGAAGAATACATGGCTATATGTGTACTGGCTTTCTTAAGATGCATTTTAAAGAATGGATTGTTGATTCTCACACAATATATATTTCTTTTCTTTTTGTTGTAGCCGTCAGCAATCACATTTTGTCTAAGAATGTCCAGTCTAGTACTTGGAGTAACGCTCAGCTGCGTAGTGATGCTGCTCTGCAGGATGTGGATAATTCTCTTGAGAGTGCATCTTTAGCTTCCTCGAGTGATAATGACCTGCTCCATCATCTGGTCGAGCAAGGTATGGCAGGTGGAAGACTGTGCACACTAAAAATTTGTTCACTGTTAATTTTTACTTATGGTTGACAGTTTTATTCATTTCTTAACATAATAGATTCCTGCAGTGATGTAAACCTTGGCTCTTCACATGGGTTAGACCATAGTTCAGAAGAGAGTACATCAAGACCTGTTAATGAGGTAATATTACGGAAGCAATAATGGAATATACAGTACTCTTTATTCTTGCTTTCCCCAGTAAGTCGTCAGAACATGCTGGAACATGTAAAAGCGGACCACCGTTCACTGCACTTTATCATTACCTCCCTTCCTCTTATTACACAATTTAATGTATTGTGAATTGAATATAGTTTAATTTAGTCCTTCATCCTCTCTCTTCCTCATTTTGCCTGGTGACGGTTCTTCAGCTGTCTGCAGCTTTTTGGGATATTCATGCCACTCATCCTAGGAGCCTGAAGGCTGGTAAGTGCTGGGATAGCGTGAGATTTTGTGCTGGTAGAGCCAACACCTATGCAGATGCAAAATCTTGTGATACTTTGGCATTTACTGACCTGCAGCCTCCTGGGGATGTATGGCATGAATTTCCCAGAAGGGTTCGGGCAGTACATTACTCTTGGCTAGGCAAACATTGAGGAAGTGGGAAGGTGGAGAGACAAAAATAAACTATATACAGGTCACAAGACACAAAATGTTAGCAATTGTGTACTAATGAGGATGGGAATAACCAAAAGTGCAGTAAAAGGTGAAAGGTCCGCTTTAATGATTAAGAACTGAAATATACTAATAGACCGTTTTTGCTCTTTTCTTAGCTACGGGAGCCCAAAGAAGACCACGTGGAATCATTAAACCTTGCTGCCTCTCATTTGTTGGAGTTGACACAGACCAGTGTACCGACAGTGCTAAACATATTTGGTATGTACAGTATATATCTTTTATCTATGATTGTGTTTCTGGATTGTGGGGAGTCTGGGGCACTTAGAAGAAACCAATCCTAAAATGTGAAGAGTATACAACCCACACTGTATGTACAGTAGATAATGTCCAAAGTTGGACCCCGGTGACAGCTACAAGTCAAGAGTTCTAAGCCACTATGTTTAAAATGTATCCACAGCCAAATTCTTTTTACTTTTGCAAAAAGTAAAGAAAAAAAAACCCATTTGTATACAGATGGGAAAAGTCTTAACAGGAGTTTAAACCATTCCCTTGTCCATCCAAATGGGGAAAAAAGGCTTTTCTTGTACCTTTTTCTGTTTTCTTACATAAGCACTAAGGCTTGTTCACACCAGAAGATGGTGCCGGAAATCCACAATCTGTGCGCTTCTCCCGCAACACGTTCAAAATGTACTGGGTATACAATATGCTACAGGTGTCATTGTATCCATAACGGCAACACAAACACAGTGTGCTTGCCTGTACCACATCCTATGGTACTGCAGAACCATGCAATCAGTTGCAGTGCCTTTTTAGAAGTAGTGTGTGCACTACTTTTGGTGCGATCTAGTGTGATTTAAGATCATTCAAATGAATGGGCTGAAAAACGCACCGCACTGAATCACACTGAACCACACATTCACGTATGAACCACTCCTAAAAGAAAAGGTATAGATTTGGCGTGTATTAATTCACAAATGTTTTAATTGACTTTGAATTTACTTGAAATCTGTGTATATACAGTTGAGTTCAAAATAATAGCAGTCAGACATCACTAACCTGATCAATCACTGTTTTTGGTAGAAATGATATTTCCACATGGCAAATAATTTACTAGCAGGTGTAGTTGAGTAATAGAAATCCAACAGACCCAACAGTCATGACATGCATGCTGCTGATTCTGTGTAATTGAATCACTAATTGAAAGGGGCATGTTCAAAATAATAGCAGTGTGGAGTTCTATTAGTGAGGTTATTCATTCTTTGAAAAACAGGTGGCAATTATTGCCCTTATTTAAGGAAGGAAAGCAGCAAATGTTGAACATGCTGGTTACAGTGCATTTCTCTCTGAAATTCTGAGGAAAATGGGTCGTTCCAGACATTGTTCAGAAGAACAGCGTACCTTGATTAAAAAGTTGATTGGAGAGGGGAAAACATATAAAGAAGTGCAGAAAATGATAGGCTGCTCAGCTAAAATGATCGCAAATGCTTTAAAATTGCAACCAAAACCTTAAAAACGTGGAAGAAAGCGAAAAAACTACCATTCGAATGGATAGAAGAATAGCCAAAATGGCAAGGACTCAGCCAACAATCAGCTCCAGGAAGATCAAAGAAGGTCTAAAGTTACCTGTGAGTACTGTTACAATTAGAAGATGCCTATGTGAAGCCAAGCTATCTGCAAGAAGCCCCCGCAAAGTCCCACTGTTGAAAAAAAGACATGTGCTGAAGAGGTTACAATTTGCCAAAGAGCACATTGACTGGCCTAAAGAGAAATGGCGCAACATTTTGTGGACTGATGAAAGTAAGATTGTTCTTTTTGGGTCTAGTGGCCGGAGATAGTTTGTCAGACGACCCCCAAACACTGAATTCAAGCCACAGTACACTGTGAAGACAGTGAAGCATGGTTGCGCAAGCATCATGATATGGGGATGTTTCTCATACTATGGTGTTGGGCCTATTTATCGCATACCAGGGATCATGGATCAGTTTGAATACATCAGAATACTTGCAGAGGTCATGCTGCCTTATGCTGAAAAGGAAATGCCCTGAAATGGGTGATCCAACAAGACAACGACCCGAAACACACACACCAGTAAACGTGCAACATCTTGGTTCCAGACCAACAAGATTGACGTTATGGAGTGGCCAGCCCAATCCCCAGATCTTAATCCAATAGAAAAAATGTGGGGTGACATCAAAAATGTAGTTTCTGAGGCAAAACCAAGAAATGGAGAAGAACTGTGGAATGTAGTCCAATCATCCTGGGCTGGAATACCTGTTCACAGGTGCCAGAAGTTGGTTGACTCCACAACACAGATGTACAGCAGTTCTCAGAAACAGTGCTTATACAACTAAATATTAATAAATGATTGAAAGGAAAGCAAAATCTTCAAACATTTTTCAGTTTATATAGTGAATGTTTGAGTTTGTAAAGAAGAATACAAACACTGCTATTTTTTTGAACAGTCTAATATTCACTTTTCTTCAATTTTTTAGAGAAACACAAATTTGATATATTTTTCTTCATGTTTTGATTTGGAATAGAATGTGTAGTGTTCCCAATGCATTTGTGTGTATGGAAATAAAAGCTATTAGAAGGATTTTGAGCTTTATTCACTTTTTTCAACACACTGCTATTGTTGTGAACACAACTGTACCTGTACAATGTGCTGAAAAAAATCATCTTTAACCAGAAAAGCTACAATTTCTGTGGAAATTGTGTGAAGTGTTCTTGCCTCCACCAGTAGGCTACAACTGGAGTGGGCGGAGTAGCTGGGTGGAGTGGCTTGAGTAACTGTTGGATGCTTGGAGTGTCTGGAGTAACTGTGAAAAGGTTGGACTGGGCAGAGTAACTTTATGGAGTGGGCAGAGTAACTGTGTGGAGTGTTAGGAGTTAGTAAAGATAGTAAACATTACACTAACCAATTGATTGTTCAAATTTAAAAAGTGCACATGGCAAGCTTGATAGAGTGAGAATCACAAGACCCAGACCTACATTTTGATGCATAGTATGTCTCTGAAATATTAAAAATGAAGGCACAGTTGCAGTTTAGAAATTGCCCTTCAAATTTGAGGTGGCTAGAGTGGAGTTTCAATGAATGTCAATGGGCGGCGTGAGTTGCAAACAAATGGTCATATTGTGAAAACTATCAGGACTATGGCTTAGCCATGGACATTTTTAGTGGCAGCAGGGATAGCTTAACGTTTTGATATAAGATTTGTGTAGGTGGGCTTGAAAATGAGTGAGTGATGGCAGTTTAGAAATCATCTCCTGAATTTTCAGCTCACACTCTAGCTTTTGTCAGCTCCCACTCTAGTTTTGAATATTCCGCCATTCATTCCTATGGGACCAATTTCACCACAAAAATGCCGATATTTTGTGAAGCATTCGGCGAAACGTTCCACAAAGTAATAGCACACCAATCAGGAACAATCCGCACGTTTCGGTATATTACTGTCTATGTAGTGTAAAAACTGTGGGAGGAGTTAGGGTGGTAAATTTGGCTATAATAAAAAGAATATGTATGTGAGATAACAGTAAGTGGTCTTGCCATGCAAGAACACTTAATAATTCAAGAGAAGGGCAAAAGAGGGAGGTATTTATGTGGACTTTGAGGAAGGAGATGGCTTAAAATGGGGAGTGCCAATGTGATGATGCTCACCATCAGCCCAAAGAGCAGGCAGCAGGATTTTGCAGTATTGCAGACATTGATCATCCTTATTTTTTGTTTGAATCTGTTTTGTTCCTATATGTGTGCTGCAGCTGTATCTGATTGGATTTGCCCTTTAATCATATCTATATGTTGATATTTCTTATTTCTTACCAATCTCTCCAGGGATCATCAGCGCCAGAGACAGTGCTGATTACAAGTCCGCTTTCCACTTCTTTCAAGAATCCGCAGAAACTGGCTACAACAAGGCCCAATACAACACGGCTGTGTGCTATGAGAAAGGAAAAGGGGTGGCCAAAGACATGACCAAAGTATGTGACATTGTGTGACTGATTGTAGTGATGAATCCCATCGGTACAAAATATTATTAATAGATTTATTAGGGCTTATTTAATTGTTCCTTGGTAAACCATTAGGTGAAAAAATAAATAATTTCTACTGAGCTCTGAATGCACATCTGTATTTATTGTGCCAATATATTCCTTGATCATAATGCGTCATGTATTCTCCTTTTGAAACTTTGTGAGTCCCTTGTTACTCCTCCTTACATGGAAGATGGTCTTTCTGGTTGTACCTTGGCTTGCAGGATCTCAGAGTTGGCTGTGCTTTCATTTAACCGCATGCCGCCCAGCCACTGTACATATACGGCGGCAGGGCGGCACTCACAGGCAAAACCACCTTTTAAGACGTGTGTTTTGTAAAACAAATAGGGGGCCGCCGCCCTATTTGTCCCACGGTTCTCTGCCACAGATGTCAGTCGCCGGGTCACAGCCGCTCCTTAGCGGCTATGTAACGGCGATCGGCGGCAAACAGTGACAGAGAGCACAGCTGCAGTAGCTGTGCTGTCTGTCACTTCCCTGTCAGCTCGAGGATGAGCTGATTGAGAAAGAACAGTTTTTTTTTCTCGATCAGCCTTGTCCCGCCCAGTACACACCCCCGCCCCCTAGTAAAACACTACCCTCACTCCTATAACCCTTCCCTGCTAAATAAAGTTAACCCCTTCCTCCCCATTGCCATTACTACAGTGTCAGTTTTTTTTTTTTTTTTTTGCACTGATCACTGTATTAGTGTTTTTGGGGATGTCCGTGACCCCAAGTCAGTACCCCCCAATGTCAAAATGTCCGCCGCAGTCTCGCCATAAGTCGCTGGTCGCTGCCATAAGTCCCTGATCGCCGCCATAATTCGCTGATCGCCGCCATTATCAGTATAAAAAAAACCCTAAAAATCCCAGTATCTTTCCCGCCATTTGTAAATGCTATAACTTTCACGTAAACCAATTAATATACACGTATTGGGTTTTTTTTTTAGCAAAGACATGTCGCAGAATACATTTTGGCAGAAATTTATGACTAAATTTGATTTTTGCATTTTTTTTTTTTACTGGACATGTTTTATAGCAAAAAGTCCAAAATATTGTTTTTTTTTCCTCAAAATTGTCAGCCTTTTTTTTTAAGCGCAAAAAAAAAAAAACCGCACAGGCGATCAAATACCACCAAAAGAAAGCTCAATTTGTGGGGAAAAAAGGATGTAAATTTCATTTATGTACCATATTGCATGACCGCGCAATTGTCTGTTAAACTAGCGCAGTGCTGTATAGCAGAAAAATGGCGTAAATTGCAGTATTTATACCATAGTTTGTAGACCCTATAACTTCCACAAAAAGCAATCAATATACACTTATTGGGATTTTTTTTACCAAAAACATGTAGCAGAATACATTTTGGCCTAAATTTATAACCAACTTTCAGTTTACTATATATTTTTTATAGCTGAAAGTAAAAAATATTGTTTTTCTTCAAAATTTTTGGCCTTTTTTTGTTTATAGCGTGAAAAATAAAAAGAGCACAGGTGATCAAATACCACCGAAAGAAAGCTCTATTTGTGTGAAAAAAAGGACGTAAATTTTGTTTGGGTGCAGCATTGCATGACCGCGCAATTATCAGTTGAATTAGTGCAGCGCCAAGTAGCAAAAAGAGGCCTGGTCATTAAGGGGGGTAAATCCTCAGGAGCTCAAGTGGTTAAGGAACCTTGCCTGGTACTTCACCAGGATAAGGTGGTGTTGAGGCCTTGGTCCTCTTTCCTACCTAGGATGTTTTTTTTTTGTTTCACCTGAATTAGATTGCCATCTTTTGTCCTAATCGTAAGCATCCTAAAGAAAAAGTGCTTTCAAATTTATCTGAAGAATAGGAATTATCCGGCACACAAAAGATATGGTATCCAGCAAACATATAAAACACCAGAGGGTCACTGGGTGAAATTAGTGACCATAAACGGTCCATAAAGTTCATAAGACTTATTGGAAGATAAATGGTTCATCAGCAGCTGCCATCCTCACAGTATAGCGAGCTGTGTATTGAAGGATAAGGGAGAAAAAGGAGGTGCCACCTAAGGGCAGTTTTAACACAATAGATTTATTCACAAAGAGTTAAAAACACTTACAGGATATTGAGTAGTATAAAGCTCATCTATTAGTACAGTATTGGCCACTCCTCTCTATCCCACAGGTACTGCCAGCTGGGATCCTGACAGCTATCGAGTTGTGCATTCCACGCTGGTTGGTGTTGACTTTCTGGTTCTCACAAGGTGTCCATGCTAATTCCACAATTCTACAGCTCTCAGGATCCTGGTTGCTGGTACCTGCGGAGAGGAGCGGCTGATACTGTACTGCTAGATGAGCTTTATACTACTCAATATCCTGTGAGGGTTTTTAACCCTTTGTGAATAAATCTATTGTTTTGTGCACTGAGGTGGCGCCTCCTTTTTCTCCCTTATCCTTCAAATTTATCAAGTCTACAGCTTTGTTTCGACATTCTGATAGCCTGGTTGTACTGCCTAAGGGTCCTACTAAGGGTCAGGTTGCTTCTTGATCCACTGTTTCTGGGTGGATTTGTCAGCTCACTTCTCAGGCCTATGGTATTATGATAGAGGTTCCACCTTTTCCAGTTCCCCATTCAACAGGGAGCATCAGTGCTTCCTGAGCTATTCAGCATCAAACTTCTGTTGTTCAAGTTTGTAAGCCTGCTGCCTTGTCATCTTTTTACATTTACCAAGTTCTGTCAGGTAGATGTTCTTGCCTTTTGTGGATGCCAGTTTTGGGCAGAATGCCCTGCAAGCTGCTTTGTAGTAGGGTTCCCCTGTTTTTTGTATGTTTTGGCCTTGTTGTGTTGCCCACCCCTTATGTTCAGTGCTTTGCATCCCTAGTAGTTATGAATATTAAGTCCTCTGTATCCTAGTTACATAGTTAGTCTGGTTGAAAAAAATCCATCTCGTTTAACCAATAGATGTGAAAAAAAAATTATTCAATCCTATACCCACAGTTGATCCAGAGGAAGGCAAATAAATAAAGCATAATCCAATTTGCTCCTGCAGGGGAAAAAAAATCCTTCCTGACCCTCCCCAAGAGACAATCGGATATTCCATGGATCAACTTTACCTATAAATGTTAGTATCCAGTTATATAATGTGCATCTAGGAAAGAATCCAAGCCTTTTTGGAAACAATTTTAATAAGCTAGCCAGAACCACCTGTTGAAGTCTATTCCACATTTTCACAGCTCTTATTACCGTGAAGAAGCCTTTCAGTATTTGGAGATTAAATCTTTTCCTCCAGACGTAAAGAGTGCCCCCTTGTCCTCTGTGATGACCTTAAAATGCGTAACGCTACACCAAGTTCACTATATGAACCACTGATGTATTTATACATGTTGATCATATCCCCCCTTAATCTCCTCATCTTGAGAGAATAAATTCAGTTCATCTAATCTGTCCTTATAGATGAGCTCCTCCATACCTCTTATCAGTTTGGTTGCCCTTTTCTGTGTCCTGCGATTAGGAAATAAGAAATGTTTTTATTTACCTGTAAAGTTATTTTTTTGGAGTATAATAAAGGACACCAAAGATCCCTTCCCTCTTGTCTGTGTTCCTCATTGCTTGCTACAAAACTGAAGCTTAGCTGAGCTGGGAGGGATTATGCCAGTGTGGAGATTTCTGCTTTTTTTCGGCCAATTTCCTTTCACCTAAAGCAGACCTGGGCAAATTGCCGCCCCAGCCCTTTGGCTGTCTCTATCCGGCCTTAGATACTTCCACTGTCAGCATGCTTCTCTATGCCTATCAACGTCTTCACTGGGGAAGCTGACAGACCCAGAGAGACACCCTGACAGAGGTCCGTGTAGAGAGCTGCAAGAACTGGAAGAAGAGCATGGGAGAGCGTAGCTTAGGACACATCCCGATGCTCCCCTGCTACTACATATCAAGTTCTTCCTGTTTTTAGCACTTGCACGCTGCAGACTCCAAGAGCCACGCACCTGTTCTTCACTTCAACTCCCCACTTCCTAATTTAACTTAATTTAACCCTACAATACCTGCATTGCATACAGTTGCTGCATAGCGCCACTGAACTCAGTGAGCAAGTTTGACAAGTGGTGCTGCTAGTCAAACTCTGCACATCAAGGTAAAAATGCCACGAAGCAAAGAATCAATCCGTGGCACATGAACAATCCCTATCCAGCTGTTATACTATAGTTCTGGAGGATAAAACCGCGTCTCAGCTGCCTGTTTTTACCACTCCTTGTCCACTGATCTAAAAGAAACCCATTTCATGAGCAGTTGTACCTATTATTCCTATGCCATGTGTTTTCTTTCTATATATTTATGTACTTGCAGACCTTCACAGATCCAAAATTAATATAAGGCAGAATTAGGTGTGGCCCTCCACGACAGTCCCAGTTTCTCATGTGGCCACTTGGAAAAATGAATTGCCCAACCTTGACCTAAAGGTGGTAGACTTACCCAAGTAGATATGAATATCAATACCTCTGTGTTCTGTGATGTACACCCACTGGCAATTTTATTAGGTACACCTGTTCAATTGCTTGGTAACACAAGTTGCTAATCAGCCAATCACATGGCAGCAACTCTATGCATTTAGGCATAGAGATGTGGTGAAGACGATTTGCTGACGTTCAAACCCAGCATCAGAATGGAGAAGAAAGGGGATTTAAGTGACTTTGAACGTGGCATGGTTCTTGGTGTGAGACGGGCTGGTCTGAGTATTTCAAAAACTGCTTATCTACTGAGATTACACCCCATGGCATTGTTACCTTTTAACATATTTGAAAAGGCCAACATTAGATTTTCATTTAAGTAGTGTTAGTGTATCTAAATCTGCTAACACATTTAACATTACCCCCCACTCCCCATACTGATAAAAAAATAAAACTAATAGTCACCTCATCTGATAATTGGTAAGCTGCAATATATTACATTTTGGCTTTAATACCACTTCAGGTACTGTATATCGTCTTTATCTGTAGTTACTGTTTGAAATAATGATCTAATGTTTGCCTGTTCAAACATTATTTAGTCAACCATTTGCACGGGGTGTGTTTACTTTTTCACACAACTGTATATTGCATAATAAGGTTGTGGACCACTTTTTATGCTACTATGCTACTAGAGCAGCTAATTTGTTGCTTGAAATTCTGGAGACAGTAGTGGTTCTAAAGAACATAAGTGGTTTGTTACCAAGATTTATGCATTTAGTACTTTGAAAAAAAAAAAAAATCTTATTCAAATGTGTGTGGGAGAAGCAGTCACTACTGACAGTAAACTGACAAAAAATTAAAGAAAAAGGCACTTATTATTGCTCTATAGGAAACTGAAAGTGGTCCAATCAATTGTAATTAATGCTGAAAATCGGTACCATCGCTTGTCATGTGCAATTTTGAGCCTTACTAAGTCTTCAAAGACAGCAGTGCCCCATATTTATTCATCTTATACTTGTATCATAGCCCAGGTCTTCATTTTGCTGTTATTGTTTGACAGTAGTATAATCCAAAAGCGTCTGTATTTTATTGTTAGTGTAGTACTGAAAAAAATATGAAATGTCCTGGAATGTTTTTTATTCTTTATATTTAGAAAAAAAAGGCATCTTTCTTTTTATATTATATATGTTATATATGTTATTGTTCTTCTAGGCAGCAGAATATTATGGTCTGGCAGCCAGCGGGGGGCACCAGCTTGCCAAATATCGTTATGCCCGCCATTTGCTACAGTCTACCAGTGGGGACACACAGTCAGCACTACAGCTGCTTCTTGAAGCTGCCCAGGCTGGTGTGAAAGAGGTGAGTGTTGTGCACTGATCTTGGAACCCTTATATGAGAAGAGATATATATATATATATATATATATATATATATATATATATATATATATATATATATATATAATTTTCTTCTTGTTTTCCTTAAGAAAACAAAAAGAAAATGATATCTCTGAATCACACTCATGCGTTTTTAGTTTTGACTTGAGTTGCATAGAATCGTATGACAATGGAAATCACATTGAATTCAGTGGTGTCCGTTCAAATAAGTGCTACACAACTGCAATATGACTTTGGGGAAGGTACCTGTGCTACTTTGGTGCGATGCAGTACAATTTTGTCCCCAATAGACTTCAATAGAGACACACCAAAAACACATGTACATATGTTTCTCTGTGTATTTTTGCCTGAGATTTTTGCTGAAGAAGCTGACACTCACTGACATCCTAACAACCAGTGACTCACCTCTGCTGTGAGCTGGGGGATCTTGACTTGCTAGTAAAGAAGATTAAAAAAAAAAATTAGCGTTAGGTCTCCCCAAAATCCATGCAGGCCAAGGGGGGGGGGGGAGGGTGTTAAGCATGCAGCTTTTTTTTTCCTGAACCATACCAGGCCACATTCCCTCAATATGAATGTGAGGCTACTTTTCTGGGGGTGGGGGGGGGGGGGTAGTAGTAGCAAAGGACAAAGCATCCTGGCACCATGTTAATGAGGAAAAGGACCTGTTCCCCAAAACCCTGGCTGGGGGTTGCAGGGTCACTTATCAGAATATGTAAGCCCCCTTTAAAAAATATAGGGATGCATTAGCACAACAGCGGAAAAAGTATCCAGTACATCCCCTCACCAATTCACCAACAGTAAAATCAATTGGCAACCACCCCAACATATGACTGGCCTTTATGGCAAGGAACACACGGACGTGCGACGCATGTCAGAAAACGGCAAACAAAAATTCCCAGCTCACCTACTAGCCAGCAAACCAAATTGACCCTAACAGTTCATGTTAACACCAAGGGGTTTAGCTTGCACAGATTTGCAAATATATGTGTAAGCTGCAGCAGCCACATAATGGCAGCCCAGTGTACTACAGTCCTAACTATAATTTTGAGAGTCTCCTAAGTGCAAGCACATATTCAGAACTTGAACAAAAATATGAAAAAACTACATGATTTGCAGGTGTGAAAGCGACGACATGTTTCTCGTTAAGAGATGATGTAACATTATTCTGCTGTGTGATGAGACACCTAGCTAACAGGTGGGAAGCCTCACTTTTGTCATTCACTGCGTGCACTGGTAGTAATACGGAGTCATGTCAGAGCTTACTGAGCTTCAAAGGGGGCAAATTGTTGGTGCCCGTTTAGCTGGTGCCTCTGTGACTGAAGTTGCCTGTTTATTTGCTGTGTAGCGAGGTACAGTATCAATGGTTATGATGGCATATACAGTTTCCGGGAAAATATTGTCTGATAAGCATAAGCATGGTCAACTGACTGAAATGAGAGAAAAGGACAATTGCGCAGGATTGGGACTTGGAATAAGAAAACAACTGCTGCAAAAGCTGCAGAGCTCAATCTCAGTCTTCCAAAGCCCGTGTCCACAAAAACTGTGCGGGGGGAACTCTATAAGGAAAACATTCACAGTCGAGCTGCAATTGCCAAACCACTACACTGTGTGCACAATTATTAGGCAAGTTGTATTTTTGAGGATTCATTTCATTATTGAACAACTACAGTGTTCTCAGTCAGTCCAAAATGTTAATAAACCTCAAACCTGAATATTTAAGACAGTAAAAGTGAGGTTTTGGCTTTCATAGGAGAATATCTGTGTGCAGCATGATTATGCAACTAAATGAAAAACGAAAATGTTCCCATCTCACTTGTTTATTTTCATCTGTTAAATTGAGAATAATAAACAACTCAAAATTTACAAATACACTTTTGTGACATTTCCAACAAAAATCAGTGACCACTGTAGCCACCCTTCTTTTTCAATAAGTCATAAGCCTTCCATTCATTTATTCTGTAAGTTTCTTGATCTGTTGAGGATCAGTGCTTTGAGCAGCAGCAACCACAGCCTCCCAGAAACTGTTCAGAGAGGTGTACTGTTTTCCTGTTTTAAGAAAGGCCCACAGGTTCTCAATAGGGTATAGGTCAGGTGCGGAAGAGGGCCATGTCATTATTCTTTCATCTTTAAGGCCTTTACTGGCTAGCCACGCAGTGGACTACTTCGATGCATGCGATGGATTGTTCTGCATAAATATCATGGTCTTCTTGAAAGATGCAGACTTTTTCCTGTACCACTGCTTCAAGAAAGTGTCTTCTAAAAACTGGAAGTAGGTTTGGGAGTTGATTTTGAGTCCATCTTCAACCCGAAAAGGTCCAACTAGCTCATCTTTAATAACAGCCCGTTGTACTTCTGGGCTCTCCAGGTAGGTTGCAGTTCTCGAAAATGACAGCCCTGGAGGATAATGGGTTTCTGGTAGCTTTATGTTTGATTTTTCTCAAATCTTTGGCAGTTTAATTTGCATCTTTTTTTTCCTCAACATGTTTTTTGCGACCATGTTGACTATTTGCAACAAAACGATTGATGGTTTTGTGATCATGCCCCAATATCTTAGCAATTTGAAGAGTGCTGCATCCCTCTGAAAGACTTTTTACAATTTCTGACTTTTCAGAGTCAGGTAAATCTCTTTTTTGGCCCATTTTGCCTGAGGAAAAAAAGCTGCCTAATAATTGTGGACACCTTGATATAGGGTGTTGATCTCCTTAGGCCACACCCTCTTTTATTACACAAATATAAATCACCTGATATGCTTAAATCCAATAAGCATTCAAGTTTATAAGCATGGAGTTGGACAGTATTACAAAAATGATGATTTGGTCAAAATACTCGCCTAATAATTGTGCATACAGTGTAGTTACCGATATTAATGCTCAGTAAAGGAGAGAAAGGTGCAACACCCATAAATCCTGGACTATTGATTGTAATATCTGGCTGTAATATGGTTAGATGAATTGAGCTTCACACTGTTCCCAACCACTGGATGTGTTTGTGTGGCAAATGCCATCCCAGGCTTACGACCAGGACTGTCTTGTGCTAACGGTAAAACGTGGTGGCACAATCCTGATTTGGACAGCCATATCTTGGTATTCTGCAGGCCCATCACATCATCATCACCTGGAAATGTAGAGTCACTGCTTGTGACTATGTACAAAGGTCGCCGGACCTCAATATCATAGAGCCACTTTAGGCAATTTTGACGAACAAGGTTCTTTTTCCTCCTGCGCCATTTCAGAACTGGAACAATATATGTATGAAGAATGGTATCAAATTCCATTAGCCACCATCCAAGACTTATATTTGTCAATTGCCAGGAGAATTCAGGCTATGGTGCGTGCGTGCGTGTGTGCAATGCTCAAAACAATTAAAGGAACACTTTGAAATTATCACTCTACAGAGGACTGAATTTTATTTCCATGAAACGACGGGGCATTCTTACGTTCCCAACACATTACCCAGTCCATATCAGTATAGATATCCAGCATGATATTTTTCCCCGTTGAGAGCTGATGTGTTTTCAAAGTGTTCCTTTAATTTTTTCGAGCAGTGTATTTTATATACTTTTTTTTTTTTTTTCTTTTTTTACAGTTTTTTTTTAATCTTAAAACCTAATTTAATTGACATCATGGGAGCTAAAGATCTTTCTATGTAATAGAACATGAGCAGATAATTATTATTATTTTTTTTTTTCTTATCTAATCCTACCTTGGCTTTGAAAGTTAGGCAATGTGTAAATATAGAAATTTGCATTACCATAGATATCATTTCTGAGTGCAGGGACTTCACGAGGACCTGTTTATTAGACAATCCTAATAGAACAGCTCCACCCTTGATTGGGTTGATTGTTTGTTGATTGTTTGATTTGTTTGATTGAACCCTTGATTGTTGACTCCTCTACATGTTTCGTGGAAATAATCCACTTCCTCATGAGGAAAAGTCAGATTATTCTGAAATAAAATCATGACAGTCAAAGTACAATATCTCATAGCATTACATGTATATAATATGTTACATATAGATATCTCAAAATCCACAAATAGTTTGCTTGCCAGTGTGAGCTCATGCTAATTAAATTAGGCCAGACAAGGGCACCAACATGTCAGGCTTTTCGTATAATTGGGTTGAACGAAAAAAAAAAAACCTGATAGTGTATACCCAGCTTTACCTGCAGTTTGAGTGCAGATAGCATCTGTTTTTATGTTTTGCCTGTAAAAACAATGGGTACAGTATTTTCCTTGCTGTTCTTAGTTGTCACAAGGTACAAGTGTTAGCAGACTTTAGCAGAGAGCATTAACATTCACACCAGATATGGTGGAACTGCCTTGGGTGGCTTTTCCAGCTTAATCCTATCACATGACAAGGTAAAATGTCTTGTCTCTGATGTGCCTGTTTCACACCACTGCGTTGCAGAGGTCTGCGGGCCGTGCGCACTGAAAAAGGTACTGCGAGCAGTATTTTCCAGCGCCATGCAAAGCACTCCACCGCATGGCTGGTAATTGAACTTAAAGTTCTGTATAATCTTAAACCTGCTTCCACCCCCGTTCTAAGTCCTATACAAACTAGACTGTAGATGAAAGATGTCTATACTTACGTAGACCAGTCACGTTATCAACTCCTAGCGTCTGCTTCAGGGAAGAAGAGGGATAGCCCACAACAGATGCCACATAGTAAGTCTATGGGTGATGTCACCGCCAGGTAATGCAGCCGTTGACACTGTTCTCTCCTCTGAAGCTGGCGCTGGGAGCCAGACATGACAGACCTTCCACTTTAATGGAATATCTCTGTGACATTTCAATAAAGTTCATTAAAAAAAAAAAGATGCAATGTGCCAAGATCAGCGCATCAGCACTGCTGTGATCCCGCTGGACCCCACCACACACCAGCTACAGCCACTGGTGTGACTTAATCCTTCAGTGTAGTCCAACTATAGCTACTCTCCATAACGTGGTCTTTATTCATTGTTCTGAATTGTTGATTATATTTACCATACATAACAGTAATGTTATTGTTTTTGCAGGCTCAAGCCTATTTAGGAGTTTTCTATAGTAAAGAGTCTCATTTTGATCCAGAGAAGGCAGCAAAATACTTCTGGATGGCAGCTGAAAATGGAGTAAGTCATAAAGCATAGATCTTACAAAAAATGTGTCTGAAACATTGAATTTATGTTTACCTAAACTGCACTTGTCAACTGTATAGTGACTCGTTAAACCAAAATCAAACCATAAAAGACTACACCTAGTTTACACAATAGATACCTCTATAGAGTAGTCTAGTACCAATGTCCCTACACTTTGTATCTTTAAAAGTGAAGTATGGCCAAAGCTCTATTGGCCATACTTCTTCTGTGGGTCACAAGAGTGCACTGCACCACAGCCCAGCAGTCCAGTGAGTGTTGGAGGGACAGAGCATAGAGCGGTGACTGATAAGTCACCATTCTGTGCTCAGTGTGGACCCTAGAACTAAATTATCAGTGGTCTTTGGTCACTAAGTTCTTGGTGAAAGCTGGCAGGGGACAGCTGCAGCTTGGATTAATGCTGCAACATTCTAAGTGAGTATGTATGTTTTTTTTTTTCTCTCATACTTCTCTTTTAAACCATTCAAAAATGAAAAACTGGTGCATGGGCTGGTTTATGTGTGTTTTTGCTTTTGTTTTTTTCACTAATATTTTGTACCCAGTTTTTTATTTTGTTTCCTTGGGACTATCCCAAATTTCAGCTGGTGAGGCTTATTTTAAAATGGACTCATGGTGTGGCCTTTAATGATGAATTTGCATTGTGAAACATTTTCAGGTAATGCTTAAAGGAGAAGTACAGCCAAAGGTCTTTTGGCTGTACTTCTCCTGTGGATTACAGGAGTGCAGTTTGTTCTGCACTCCTGTGCCCCGCTTTTGGCTAACAGCGGGCTGAAGCCTGCTGACGCCTGACACCACTCAGCTAGTCCAGGCTGGGAAAAGATCCCAACTTCAAAGTCGGGATCCACCCCAGGGTCTGGAGTGGCACCTGGCTCAGCCTCTCAGCAAGCTGTGAGCTCAGGGGGGCTGATTAGACAGCGGTGACTTAAAGTCACTGCTCTCTGCACAGAGCGGCTGTGAGACCTCAGCGATCATGTGATCACTGAGTTCTCACACTTAGAGGCGGCGTGGGACAGATGCAGCATTGGACCAATGCTGCATCCACCGAGGTAAGTATAACGAGGAAAAAAAAATACATACTTTTAAAAAAAAAAAAAGGCCAATTCAGCTAAACAGTAGCACTCTTCGGCTTATCAGCTTATCAACCCCTCATTGAAGTTTCCCATTGATCATCGACCCCCAAACATTCATTATATAAAAACAATTTAATAAATACTACCTTAAATAATAGTATTAAAGATATATAATTTCTCATGAATACTGTTGAATCTTCTTTTTGGTATCAGCAGCTGCTATTATGGTTGGTAAAATGCAAAACGTTTATTAAATGCACCGCAACTCTTGCCACTCTTTTTGGCAACTGATCAACCTTGAGTAATGCTGCCTTGGTGCCAATAACCATATTTTCAGGATTAGGGACTAGCATGGAGCACTGCATAGACCTCAAAAATTAATTGGCCACAATCATTTTCCATCATTTATCATCAATGCCATTTTATCGACCCCCTTGGATAGCCCCATTGACCCTTGGGGAACCCTGATTGATACGATTCCTTTCATTGTGCTGATAAACAGCATTGCTAATAGCGTGCAAAACGAGATGGCTCCTGTTGCATTGTGGTAGCCAATTTTCTATCTACAGAAAAAAAAACTCTTAAAGCGGAGCTCCACCCAAAAGGGGAAGTTCCGCTTTAAGGACTGCTCCTCCACTCCCCATTAAGGATTGGCACCTTTGGGGAGTGGGGGGGGAGTGGGTACCCGAATTTGACAGGTACCCGTTCACCCTAGAGAGAACGAAAACAGAAAATGTCCTCCCTCCCGGTAGTCTTTCGGCACACTTGACAGGTCCCAGAAGACTACAGGACCATTCACGAAGGACATCGCTACTCTCGCATGCGCAGTAGGTACCCAGTTGTGAAGCTGCAAGCTATCACAGCTGGGTGCCCACACTGAAGATGCTGGTCTCCTGGAATACAGGACAGCTGGTGAAATGAGCTGCAGGGGACACACCACGGGACCGAGGGACAGGTAAGTGGCTGTTTTTTAAAAGTCAGCGGCTACAGTTTTTGTAACTGCTGACTTTTATTTTTTGATAGGTCGAGTGGAACTCCGCTTTAAGTAGTCAGTGGACCACTATTTTGGAAAAGCCTAGTCAGTAATGTTCAGATGGCTCTTTATATCCTGCGCTAAAGCCATCACTCAAACAAACATAGGCTATCAAATATTGTTCCTTGTATTTAAGTGGACCTCTACTAAAACTACAAAGCTAACAGTCCTGCAGGAATGGATACAAAAAGACAATATAGATATATAAAAGGGCAGAAATTCCTTTAGAACATGCTACTTTAAGGTATCTTCAGTGATAGCCAGATATCCGGAGGCTCAGGCATATGGTTATGTGATCTTTAACAAAGGGTAGGATTGGTCGATTTTGTACTCTCTTCCCACCCTTCAACAGAGGTCACATGCCTGCCAATTAACAAACATAGGGTTTTCTGTAATATTTTGAGCACAGTGTGCTTACAGCATTTATATGTTTTTTTGTTGTAAAATAATGGTTTTTGCAGCACATGTTTACAGTTAATGCACACAGTTGCACAGCTGGAGCCTTCTCTGTTCATTCTGAATTCAGTTCTACTGCCAGACTTTGTGCTGTATTAATAGCCAATATTTCAACATATTTTTTGTGTATGTGTTAGGATGTTCAAAGTCGCTATCATCTGGGAGTGTGCTATGAAAAAGGATTTGGAGTTTCAGTGAGCAGACTGGAAGCTCTCACACATTATGAAAAGGCTGCAAAATCAGGACATGAGCTTGCTCAGCAGAAATTACTGGAGATGCAGCAGCTTCAGAGTCCAGGTGAGGACATGCATAGTTGGCAATTAAGACATATGTAGGTATGAAACTTAAGTTATGCAATCATTTAATTAAACTTTTATATGTAATATGTATTTATTGCGGTTAAAGCAGAGGGAAAAAAAAAGAATTCACCTGAGCTCAAATTGAAAAATAATTCACTCTGATCTCTGACAAAACGGCATTACTGCCAGCATTTCCCCTGCCTAAACACATCCCTGGTAGGGAAATCATGAAAGTCAGTAAGCACCTAACAGAGGCCAAGACTTTGCAGGAAATGTTCAGGACAGCACAAAACAAACCAGCATCTGAGTGCTTGTGTGTCCTGAGACCACACTGTCACCCCTATAATAACGTGGGTGTTCAGTAGAAGTAGAGTACCCCCCAATTAACATCAGAGCGAACCAGGGCTAAACATTTTTTGTATAAACTGGACGCACATTGGAACACATTTACCATACAAAGCATACCGTCAAAAAGCGTTGTCAATTTCTTCCTTTTCAAACCTCTGACACAGCTTAGACAAAGAATCTGGTTGCTATAGACAAAACTCTTATGCAGTGGTGAATGAAGCACTTATCTGCCCATTTGTAATTTCGTGAAGAATATGCAATTCCAGTGTAGGCTGTACCAGAAAGAGAGCCCGACTGCCGCACACCTCGCCCAGCCCAAGTGGTTAGCAGGTAAAAGCAGCCTCTGCTTGATTCATCCAAGCCATGCCTCAACATGTTTCACCCTGCCCCATCCCCTGGAGCTTAAAGTGTTACTAAATCCACAACCGTAAAATCAGTCTGTATATACAGTAAAGCGTGCTTGTTATACTCCTCGTGGAACCTAAGCGGTTAATCCTCCTCATTGTGTAAAAATACTGTTTGATCCTGTCTTCTCAGATCCTCCACTTCTACAACCCCAATCCATCTGCTGATAGTACAGAGCTCTAGGGGTCACTCTGCACATGCTCAGTTTGGTGTGTGTTGCTAGAGAGTTTTTTTGCTTTGGAAGGGTGCATGTGATCAGCACAGGGCCAATCAGCACTGTCCAGATAGAGGGACAGAGGTTATGCAGCCTCGTAGGACAGTCAGAGGAGAATGAAAACTCCTCCTACAAGCTTTAACCAGTTCTCAGCTGGATACTTATGGAAGTCACAAGACTGCTATATACTGATGATGAGAAAAGGTATTTAGCAGTTTATATTTACTAAAATAATTGCATTTCCATGTTCTGTGTACTGTGGGAGTCAGTATTTTTACTGACACATTCGTTTGCCTCCCAATAATTTTCTCCTAAACATTCACATATAGAAATATCCCATAGTTCTGGGGTTATTTTTTCTCCTGATTGTACAGGAAAAAGGCTTTGTGTCCTTTTGGATCACAGGAGCAGTTCTGCACTACGGTGACCTATTTTCAGCCGACAGTGGACTAAATCCTGCTGTCTGCTGACGTCACAGAGCTGGTCCAGGCTCTGGAAAGATCCCAACCATTTGGCCCATCCTCTGATCCCAGACTGTTCACAAAGGTCTTTGCACCTCTCCTTTTCCTTCAGAAAACTCGGAACGTCCGTATCTTCTATAGGACTACTTTCTATTCCAGATATCCAAATCTTCCAGAATTCCAAATTTCCAATCTCCAAAAATTCATAAGACAATTGGATGCTTTAGGCTTTCAGATGGGTGACCAACTTACAAAAAGTCTGCTCTCTAGCCTTCTCTTCACCCTGAATATTTGGGTCTGACTCTAGATACACCTCAAGCAAAGGTATTCGTTCCAGAAAAAACTGTTCTCACAGAGCTAACGCTCAGAAATTGAAGTTAAAGAGCCATCCCTTGATGAGATTCTCCATGAACGTTCTAGGCCTCAAGGAAGACTCCTCTGAAGTTGTGCCATTTACCCAATTTCATTTAAGACCTCTGCAGCATATTTGTATGGATTAGAACAGGCATGCTTCTTCTCTTGACCTACCCATGCTTTTGTCCAGACATGGAATTCCTTCATTTAGTGAAACTCCAGCCCAGCCGTAACAAAGGGGAAGTCTTACTTTATCACTAGAAAGAAAGTTGCGAGTCTCTCAGACTGGGGAGGAGTGTTGCAGTCCCTCAGGGAACCTGGTCATGGTTCAGGAAACATGGTCAGTGATGGAAGCCCCATCAACATCCTGGAGATCAGAGCAATGAGGATGGTTCAACATAAACTCCCTTCTGCAAGGACACCCATTTAGGCTGCAATCAGAGAACACCACAGCACTATTGTGTACGCCCGGCAGTTGTGAATGCTCTTTGGCTTATCCTTAAAAACTTTATCAAGGACATAATAGGAGGGACGATCCCCAGAAAAAGGCCAAGTCACAGTCTGGGAAACCCTCTGTGGCTGAACCAAAAAAGAGCTTTCTTCCTGGCCCCCAAGCCTGGGACTCGAAATCAGGAGACTTCCCCACTTATCAGAGCAGGGAGACATCTGTAAGCTTTTGCGCCTCCCTGGATCTACTAAATTTTGGACACTTGGGTACAGAACATGGTATCCAGGTGCTACATGCCTGAATTTCAAACTCTGTTTCAGTGCTTCTTTGTTGTAAAACCTGCCAATGTCTTTGCAAAGATTAGCAGACCCCCATGCAGTTCTGGCATAGCTACTCTTTCAAGGTGTCCTAGCTATTGTTCCAATGCAAGAAAAGTTTCAGGATTTCTAACCTGTTCTCTGTTCCCAAAGTGAAAGGGGCATTGGCCCCATACTGGATCTCAATGTTTTCAACATTTTCCTTTTGGATACAGAAATTCCTCATGGAATCTACAAGTTAATTTATTGCTTCCCCCCATCCAGCAGATTTCCTGGCTTCCACAGGCATCAAGGGTACATGTCCTCATCTTTCCGGTGCACCAGTTCCATTAGCATTTTGCGATGGGCTGGTAACATTACCCATTTGTTGTCTTTTCATTCGGTCTGTGCATTGCACCATGGGTCTTCATCAAGATTTTAGCCCCTGTACTTGTTCTGCTTCACTCTCAGGACATTCTCGTAGTAGGATACCTTAATGATCCTCTACTGAGGGAACGGTCAGCACAGACTCTGCCAGTCAATGTCAAACAAACTGTTCAAACTCTGCAGAGGTTCGGGTGTATCCTGGAGGATCTAGACCTCCTACTGGACACTACCCTGATCAGGGTTTTTCTTCTACACAAAAAAACACCTCACTCACTTTTGTTCTTCTGCAAACAATGGCTCTCCCAGAGCATTGTACTTATGTGGGACATACTCCATCTAGTGGCTGTGCACACTAATAATATTAGTATTATTGAACTTGAAATGAATGTCTTTGTGATTTTATACACAATTTCTTAATTTCTCTAATAGCAAAATATGCCCGTTCAAGAACTTGCAAGGTTGGCGAAATGACATAGAATATTGATTTTGGTGGTCAGTATGTGCAGGTGTAGAGCTGTGGACGGTATAATGTTGGCCAGTGTATAGAATATACAGTATAAGATAAAAAATATAGTTTGGCTCCACACTACTGTTGTCTCCTCTGTTCCCAGGGATTCCCAGCCTATAGCAAACACCAATACTCCCACCCACATCTGCTTCTAAGATGCTGGATATCTATATTGATATATTAAGGACTGGGTAATGTGTTGGGAACATAAGGATGCCCCATAGTTTGATGGAAATAAAAATGATCAACCTACAGAGAACTGAATTCAAAGACACCCCGAAAATCAAAGTGAAAAAAACGGTGCAGCAGGCTAGTCCATTTTGCTGAAATTTCATTGCAGCAACTTAAAATGGTACTCAGTAGTTTGTATAGCCCCTACATGCTTGTATGCATGCCTGACAACGTTGGAGCCATGCTCCTAATGACACGACAGATGGTGTCCTGGGGTATTTCCTCCCAGATCTGGACCAGGGCATCACTGAGCTCCTGGAGAGTCTGAGGTGCAACCTGGCAGCGTTGCATGGACTGAAACTTGATATTCCAGAGGTATTCTATTGGATTTAGATCAAGTGAGCGTGGGGGCCATTCAATGGTATCAACTCCTTCATCCTCTAAGAACTGTCTGCATACTATCACCACATGAGGCTGGGCAGTGTTGTGCACCAGGAGGAACCCAGGACCCACTACACCAATGTAGGGTCTGACAGTGGGTCCCAAGGATTTCATCCCAATCCCTAATGGCAGTAAGGGTGCTTATGTCTAGCCTGTAGAGGTCTGTGCATACCTCCATGGCTATGCCTCCCCAGACCATCACTGACCCACCACCAAACGGTCATGCTGAATGATGTTATAGGCAGCAAAATGTTCTCCTCGGCTTCTCCAGACCCTTTCAATTATGTCACATATGCTCAGGGTGAACCTGCTGTCACCTGTGAAAAGCACAGGGCACCAGTTGACCTGCCAATTCTAGTGTTCAATGGCAAATGCCAGTCAAGCTCTATGGGCCGGGCAGTGAGCATAGGGCCCACTAGAGGATGTTGGGCCCTCAGGCCACCCTGTCTGTTTCTTTGGTCAGAGATATTCACACCAGTGGGCTGCTGGAGCTCGTTTTGTAGGGCTCTGGCAGTGCTCATCCTGTTCTTCCTTGCACAAAGGAGCAAATATCGGTCCTGCTGATGTGTTAAGGACCTTCTACAGCCCTGTTCAGCTCTCCCTAAAGTAACTGCTTGTCTCCTGGAATCTCCTCCATGCTCTTGAGACTGTGCTGGGAGACCACAGCAAACTTTCTGGCAATGACATGTAGTGATATACCATCCTGGAGGAGTTGGACTGTGCAGCCTCTGTAGGGTCCAGGTATCGCCTCATGTTACCAATAGTGACACTGAACCCTAACCAAATGCAAAACTAGCAAAAAACAGAAAAGATTGAGTGGGGAAAAAATTGTCTGTGTCCTCCACCTCTAAAACCATTCCTGTTTTGGGGGTCGTCTCATTGTTTCCCATCTATTGCACCTGTTAGTTTGATTAACAACCCCCTCTGCTACTTAACTGACAAGATCAAAATCCAGGAGTTTTATTGACTTGATGCTATACTCTGATTAAAAAGTGTTCCTTTCATTTGTTTGAGCAGTGTGTAGTTACGTATTTATGTAAAACATTTCACCTACCAAAGAAATTGTAATACTGTCCAATCAGCCTTGTGATCAAGACACCTATGCCAGATGGAACAGTGCAATTAAGGGATCCAGGGCTCAATTCACTAAAGAATATCTCATGAGATAATTGAATCACGTGACACATTTTCTCCAGTCATTTCATTAGATGCTAAAAATATCAATTCACGGTCACTTTGAGTTATTTACCTCACACACCAAAAACATGAGATCAATAACTAATAAAACTGTGTAAAAGTCAATTCACTAAAGGAAATAAATAAGTAGTGCTCCAGGCATGCGTTATTTAAGGAATGTATGGGTCAATTCACCAAGAGTTAAAGAACGACTGAGAAAATTTGATAAAATAACGCATGCGGTAATTCTTTTGCAAATGTGCATTTCACTAAGAATTTTGTGGTAAATAGCTCACACATTAAAAATATTGATATTGTGGAAATTAACCACTTGCCTACAGGGCACTTATACCCCCTTCGTGCCCAGGCCAATTTTCAACTTTCAGCGATGTCACACTTTGAATGTTAATTGTGTGGTCATGCAACACTGTACCCATATGAAAATATTTATAATTTTTTTCACACAAATAGAACTTTCTTTTGGTGGTATTTAATTGCCACTGGGCGTTTTATTTTTTGTGCTATAAACAAAAAAAATTTGAAAAAAAATTTTTTTCTTTGTTTCTATTATAAAATTTTGCAAACAGGTAATTTTTCTCCTTCACTGATGGTCTCTGTAAGGTGGCACTGATGATGCTGCACTAATATGCAACAATGATGGCCACTGATTGGTGGCACTGCTGGGCAGCACTGATGGGTGGCACTGGGGTGCACTACTAGGCACAGGTGGATGGCACTACTGGGCACTTGTGGGCAGAACTGTGGGGCAGTGATCATCAGTGCCCTGAGGATCGGTTCGGATCCCTCCTCTTGACAATTGCCAGTTATCGGCAGTACTTTCCTCACGTTGTGATAGCGTGAGGAAAGTGCATCCGATAACCGGCAACTGCATTTACGGTGATCTGCTGTGTCATTGGACACAGCTGATCATGTGATAAAAGGCCACTGTGATTGGTTTTTTACCACATCACGTGGTCAGCTGTGTCCGTAGGACACAACGATCACGGAGATCGCCAGGGGCACACGGGAGGGCGCGTTTCTGGGAGGACAGTCATATGACTCCCTCAAACTGGACAACCGCGCTGTAGCCATCATTCGGCTATAGCGCATTTGGCAAGTGGTTAACACATATTTTCAAGCAGTAATATATTGCACGGTAGCTGGTTGTTGATGGAGGCCGCCGTGTCCTTAACAACAACTAGTAATAAAAACTGACACTGGTTCTAATCTTTCTCCACTATCCATTCCACTGGATATCATGTAATGAGAGAAAATACCACATGGTTTTATGAGAAAAATTCCTCACATTTTGATCAAATAACTCATCAGCTTTATTTCAGTAGCGGTTTTTTTTGGAGAATTGCAAAAAAAATTGTTTGAAAAAAACTGAGTTATTTTATCTCAGATTTTAAGAGTAAAATAACTCTTTTTGAATTGAGCCCACAGTTTGAGGTTTATTCATAAATAAGGCTGCATTCACAATGCAGTGTTAGCAGATGCAGTTGTCAATTTGCACCCTGTACAAATCAAAGGCTGCTGCCTCTATTCGCATGTAAGCACTCATCTAAAAGTGCAGAAAAAGCCTCTGACTGACCCTGGACACAGCCAGTGTGCATCCAGGGTTTGTATTTCTATGGAGCTCTGGCTGCACACAAACTGGATGTTCGGTTACCTCAGAATGCAGCAAAAGATCTGTTGTGTGAATGTGGCCTTATTGGATTAAATTACTTTTATTTAGGGTGGCAACACAAACATCAAATTGGCATGTTTTTTATATTTGGTCACAAATTTGATTTTAATTAAAAGACTTTTTTTGTTCACTGAAATTTTATATTCTTTCCAAATTACGATTCTAATTATCATTGTGAGAAATGTACATTGTAAACATTATTTTTCCTCACTAAAGATTTGCAATATTCCAAAACTTGCTATAATCCAATTGAAAAAAAATATTGGCAGGCATTTATTTTAGTTTTCAATTCAACGTCCGTAAAGGAAATTGTAAGTAAACAAAAACTTCTCACACCTGGGTAGTTATGACCAGAATGTTGAATTGATTGGATGATTGACTGGTTTAAAAGTCTTTGTTTAGACCACAATTCTGTAAAGCTCTTTGGATAATGTGTCATTGGCACAAAACACGGATTGATTTTATTGCTTTAAAGCTTCTCTTTAGATGTGAGTCTTTCACTGCAGGCTCTTCCTGTTGCTGTAGTATTCCACAATACTTCCTCTGTTTCTATGCCATTGTTGTCTGCTGTAAAGTGAAGTTATTAATGTATTTCCTCTGCAGATCTAAGCTCTCCCCTGAACAGTCTTCGAGCCGCAGTCTCCAGCCCCTGTCTTCCTGTTTTGGAGCAAACAAACTTCTGGACAAAAGCCACCTACGCTGCAAGCAGCACAAACAGCCTTGGTCTACCTCACTCAATGAGCACTGGGGACCTATTGGTGATGTCCCCTGCTAATAGTGGTAGCTACCTCTTGCCACCTTTCTATAAAACTGCAATGACGCCTCCAATGGCCTCTCTCAGAGTTATTGGGGTTGGATGAATCCCCCCCTGCATTTGAAAGCACTTACATATTGTATCTTAAAGAAGGTGATAAAGTTGTCTTTATATTCAGTACTGCAAGGACACTAATGTTTCTAATTACTTACTGATATAACATAAAAGGATGAAATACCTACTTTCCTGCGCAAAACACTGCCCTTTCGGCTTTTAGATACAATTTATGATTACAACTGTACATTTAAATGTCCACTAGGATGGTAATGGACTAGAATGTGCTCAGGGCAACTGGGAACTAAAATAACAAGTGTGTGCCTCAACATTTGCAGACTGCATTGCAGACTTTAATGGTTCCCTACTAACATATCTCTCAGACCTAAAACATCAGTGATGATCCGATGCATAAAGGTCAAGCCATTAACTTGTTCACATAAACAATCGTGCAGTTGTGCAGCCAGTAAGTAAGTAAAAAAAAAAATGGAACTTGTTTTACATGGTTGTCACCTGAGCTGCACTCTGACAGAACAGAGGGCCGACAATATAACCCCAGTAATTTATGGGTTGTAAATTTCTTAATTGCATTCTGTTGTACCACAACAGTCTATAAGCGCTTTAAAAGCATCAGGCACTTGCTAACAAGTAAGACTAGCTTTAGACATTAAAATCCAACTGTTACAAGATTGCCTTTTGCCATGATAATGGCGTATGCATTTTGTGTACAGTCAACTCTTTCATGGGCTATATATGAAAAACACTGTCTGCCGAGGGGTCTCTGCATAGGTCCCAGGTAACCCATGGATAAAAAGAATGTGAGCAAACTGCTTTGAGAAAAAGTCAGCTGCAGTCACTGTTCTGGTATTCTGACAGCTACTGTTGTCAGGATACAATAGTCAGCTGCAGGATATTTGTTGATCCATGCTGTTTATCGTTGATAGGGGAATCTGGTTTTCTCTCATTCATTGTGTACAGCCAGGTTTAGAATAACTTGGACAGCACTCATGTTATTTTGTTTGCTGTTGGCCGCAGAGAAGCAATTATTAAGGTGTTGTGGGGGCCAGCTTTAAAGTGAATGTGTTTCACTAGTTTTCAAAGGCAAAGCTACTGAAGACTCAATCCACTCAAAGGTAGGCCCACCTTGGTTCATTAACGGTAATTGTTGCAGTAGTCAGAGCGGAAGATTCTGGAGTTTAGACATCATGTCAGCTCAGAGTTTCCCATGTTAGAAATTACATGCATCCTGTCCGGTCAGCGAAAAGGATCACCCTCCAGAAAGTACTGTTTATGTTCAGAGTGTTTGCCATTCATATCAACACTCAATTACACAGAGATTATCTGCTGAGTTAGGAAATCTCAGTGTGTGAAATCACCTGCAGGGAGAGCTTTCTTCTGACATGATAGGGCTTACATAAAGAAAAAACAAAGCTCACTGGTGTAACATGATCCCAGCTAGGGTGACCATCTTGCTTTAGTTCTCTATTCACATTTAGTAGAAAATAAGGATCTCTAAAAAAAAAATCGTAACATCATCTATTGTATCCATCTTTCCTTGAGGACACATTGTGCTATTATTTGTTATTGTTTAATAAAAGAAAATTGAATAATTTTGTTTGAAGTTCACTATTTAAAAGATCAGAGAGCCTGTGCTATCTGTTTCTTGCATAAGACAGCTGCCAACTGCATTTATAGGCCTTCGTGTAAATGCTTAAAGGGAAACTAAAATGTACAGTAAATACAGATTTTGAGTTTTATAAATTGGGATGGAACCACATTTTTACGGGATTGCTGCTCAGTATTTTCATAATCCTTCTCACAGCAACCCAGATAAACATTCTGATGTTTTCTGTCAGGCTGAACAGATTCCTGGACTCACAGTAAGGAACAGTGAAGCGCAGTCACTGTGAAGCATGCCAATCTACTTGCCTACCACCATGTCATAGTTCGCACACAACAAAGTTTTAAAATACTGAAAATTTTGCTTGATTATGTACATTTAGCTGATTATTTTTTAAAAAAAAGTTAAAATTCCTTTTAAAGAACTAGATTGAACTATGTCTTTGGGAAGTTTTGGGGGGAGTTTCTGGTTTCAGTAATTTGAGTCACAGAACAGGTATGCTCTAACCAGTTGCTTCATACTGGTTCTGGGACAGTTACTCAATGTATTCAAAATCACCCAGACAGCAATTTGCAGAAGGTGTTTAGTAATGGAAGGCACATTTCTTCCAGAATGTGTTTCCTTTGAGAACAGCGAGATTCTCCTCAGCCTGAAATACTTGATGGTGTAAAATAATCGCTTATATTCAACTACAAATCAAATATCTGTAGAATTTGAAATGTCTCAACAGCTGTATAGTACACATAGCTATAAATTCTATAAAGGTCCAAATCCAGAACTTGCAAAGAAAAATGCTTGCCATGGGGCCCCTTGAACTGCATTGGTTAATTGCTTGTTAAGTCTAGGGGGTAAAGGAATAAGATGTAATACGTATCTTTTTCCTTTATGACAGGCTTTATTGCTTTCAGATACTCTCCAGTGACCCTTGGCTGCCCTCATGTACTTAATATTTGCATTTGGGTTCCATTTAGAATCTACACGTTTGGTAAATGTGTGTTTTAGAGCATTTTACAGCAATACAGATGTGTGAATTCAGCTTAAGTGTATTTTACTTTAGAAACAAGCGTAAAAAAAATGTAGACATGCGTTCCTGTGGAGCATTTTTAACCACTAGCCTACAGGACTCTTATACCCCCTTCCTGCCCAGGCCAATTTCCAGCTTTCAGCGCTGTCGCACTTTGGCAATTGCGCGGTCATGCAACACTGTACCCATAAGAAATGTTAATAATTTTTTGGTGGTATTTAATCACCTCCTGGGTTTTTAATTTTTTTTTTAAACAAACCAAAAACCACTGAAAATTTTGAAAAAAAAAAAAGTTTTTTCTTAGTTTTTGTTATAAAATTTTGTAAATAAGTGATTTTTTCTCCTTCACTGATGTGCGCTAACGAGGCTGCAGTGATGGACACTGATAGGCTGCACTGATGGGCATTGACAGGCATCACTGATGGGCACTGAAAGGCAGCACTCATATTCATATATTGCACTGTGTTAGGCGGCACTGGCTGGCACTGTTAGGCGGCACTGATTGGCACTGATGGATGACACTGAAAGACAGCTCAGATGGGCACTGATATGTGGCATTGATGTGGCACTGATAGGCACTGACAGGTGGCACTGCTGGGGCTACACTGATCATCAGGGCACACTGATCATCAGTGCCCTGATGATCAGTGTACATGTCCCCTCTGTGGAAAGCCGATTACCGGCTCTCCTCTCCTCTCGAGCTGTCAGCGTGAAGGCTCGAAAGGAGAGAAATGCCGATAACTGGCATTTCCGTGTTTACATGTGATCAACTATGATTGGACACATCTGATCACATGACCAAGCCGACATCTTCGGCTCTTTCCGTGATCGGTGATCCGCTGTGTCCTAGGGACACAGTGCACCGCCGATCGCCGCGCTGTGCGCTCCCTGAGCCGCGCATGCGCGCGGTGAGAATGGGAGGACGTCATGTGACGTCCTCTCAGAACGAGAGAGCCACCTTGCGCCCGTCAGACTATATGGCGGGCGGGAGGTGGTTAAGCATCATGGTCTTTCTGTTCCCTGAACCCGTCTGGTCTGTATATTACACCCCTCCCCCTGCCTTTTCCTTAACCGCTTTCCCACTGTCCTATAGCAGAAGTACTACTACAGGGCGGCAGGGGTGTGCAAAATCACGTTTATATATGTGATTTTGCATTTCCGGGTAGGAGACGCACGCCTACCCGTGCTGCCATTGGCGGCCTCACATGTAGATAACCATGTCCCGTCCCGCCGACACCTGGCAATCACCGTGTGTCACAGATGGGGGAGAGACCTGTATGTAAACAATACAGATCTCTCCCCTGTCAGCTCCTGCACACTGCTTTGTATGGTTCTGCATAGCAGAGCCATACAAAGCAGTGTGCTTACAGTGTAAAGCACACCGTTAACTCTTTGATCTCCCCAGATGTTAACCCCTTCCTGCTCAGTGTCATTAGTACAGTGTCAGTGCTTTTTATTAGCACTGATCACTGAATTGGTGTCACTGGGGATGTCAGTGACAGTCAGAATGCACGCTGTAGTCCCACTATAAGTCACTGAACGCCACCATTACTAGTATAAAAAATAAAAAATTCCAGTATCTATACCGCCATTTGTAGACGCTGTAACTTTCATGTAAACCAATTAATTTACACGTATTGGGATTTTTTTCTTTAGCAAAGACATGAATTTCATTTGGGTGCAGTGTTGCATGACCGTGCAATGTCAGTTAACGTAACACAGCGCCGTATCACAAAAAATGGCCTGGTCAGGAAGTGGGGTAAATCCTCTGGAGGGCAAGTGGTTAACCAGCACTTATAACCCTTTTGTGAAATAGATGTGTGAAGGAGCACATGTATTGGTTAAAGATGTTTATCTTAATTGTACAGTATAGGAATTGTACAGTATTCTTAGACCATGGGTTATTTGCAGCTACCTTCCAGTGAAAAAACTTGCTAGGGCTACCCCAAAGCACATCATTAAATTATTTTCTTTTTTCAACCAGTTTTTTCTCTGTGACGTTTCTGCCAAGATTTGACTGCTTACTGTCTTGGGCAGTTTTCTGAATCCGCTACCCTTGATGTATACCTTGGGAACCATATCCAGGCTCCACTATATGGGGCTAGCCTGTAATGCTTGCTTCAGGTACTGGATCCTGTATTAGGCGCTCACCTTGGCACAAAGTGCAATGTGTGTATTTTAAAAAAAACAGAGTAAGCGAGCGCTTGAATACTAACACAGCAGCTGTACACCAAAAAAGGCACCATATAACCTTCCGAGACGTAAATATACAAAGGGGGGGAGGTGCAGCGCTATAAATACCTAATAAACAGTATTTATAGCGCTACAGTAGGTTGGATGCCTTACCGCCGGTGCCACGAGGGGCCCCGGCGGCCATCTTTGTTCCGCATCTGGCCAGATCCACAGAGCAGCCGCATCTATCCGAGCGCCAGGCAGTGGAAATTGTTGCTGACCAGATCTGACCAGACCAGTCTGATGATTCCAGAGGTCCGGTGACTGTATATACAAATGCGCATAAAGATTGCGTATCTGGTGAGTGCGCAATCTTTACATTACTTATCACCCTGCGGTTCCAATCATTGGACGTATAAGGATCATCTTGGATCTTAAGAGCACCCCTCCATTGGACTCTTTTACTTATTTTGCACTCTTTTCACTTTGGTAGCCACTATTCAGTGGCCTTATTTCATTACCACTCAGTCACTGTCTAGTATATTATATATCCGATTTGCTGTTTATTAAGTATTTATAGCGCTGCACCTCCCCCCCTTTGTATAATGTGTGTATTTAGTTTGGACACGTGCCTCCTGTCCAAACTTAGTCTCTGATGGATGAGGTAACTTTGTTATGCCTTATGGAGGACACTTTTCCACCCACCTTTTCTGCCAAAAATGCATACAGAGTTCCTTTTACTATCCCAAGGCATCTACTTCCAAATCAAGGCCTGCCACCTACTCTTCCTGCAAGTGCTTGGCTCCCATGTCCACCAAGACTGCCCAGAATCTAATCATATTGATGAGATGCCTCCCACACACATAGGATGGGTGTATGTTGTGCCAGTCTGGATCCAAGACATCCTGGACCTCTAGGTTCAATCTGTCATTTTAAAGGGGTACAAAAAGATTTTAATCTCTGAACCTCTTGTGACTTTTTCCCTTCCAATCTGCCAGCTTCAGTCCAAAAGAAAGAATGTAGATTTACTTTACCACCTTGTACCAACACTGCAAGGAGTGGGTGTGCCATTTCCTTTAGAGAGAACAGTTTCATGGTTTCTACTTGCAACTATTCTCAAGCTCAAAACCATCTGCCTATTAGTGGACTTACAATATTTCTAAGCATATTTTTTTCATGTACCACAATTCTGGGTGGAATTAACAAGATCTGTCATTGCTTCTCTAAGACAAGGAAGACCAACACTTCTACTTTGTAGCACTACAGTTTGGGCTCTCCTCTGCACTTTTATGAACCCAGAGCAGTCATGTCACAGGTTATGTGGACGAGCTCCTACCGAAAGATTCCCCTACCACAACCTTGTCCACCAATGTCCAGAGGACAATTCAGTTCCTTCAAAACTTTGCCTGGACAATCAGCTTTGCAAAATCTGTTATCCAGCATCCATCTGAAATAACTAGGTCTAATCTTGGACACAAACCAAGCCAGAATTTTAAGGTTGTTTCTCTAAATTCCTACACAAAGACCCACCAGTGAAAATGGCACCCCTCAGTTCACTTTAGTGTGGGGGTTATGAGCTTGATGATGGCCTCCTTCAAGGCAGTTGCCTTTGCCAGATTTTACTTCAGACCTCTTCAATCCAACTTACAACATGGAACAAGCAAATCCATTCCTTGATTTGCCCAATGCTTTTGTCAAGCCAGACAAAGCTCTCCCTAACTTGATCAATCTCCAAACCTACCTTAGAATTGGGAAAGACTTTCCTTCACATGCCCTGAGTAATGTTCACATCAGATATCTTATAGGCTGAGTTGGAGTTTACAATTTCCTTACTGTCCAGGGGACCTGATCCTCACAGAAGTCAAAACTTCCCATCAACGTGGAACAGAGGCTGCCTCAGAACAACATGTGCAATACTCTCCTCAGCAGAAACTCACATTCAAGCTGTCTTTCAGCCATCCAAATCACTGGAGTGGACAGTTGGCAGGCAGACTTCCTAAGCCACCTAGACCCAAAAGCGTGGTCTCTGCATCTGTCAAAGCTGGGGAAAACCAGATGTGGAAATCTTGGCCACCAGGTTCAACAACAAGCTGGACAACTTTGTAGCCAAGCCCAGGATCCTCTAGTTTTCGAAGTGGATGCTCTGGTGATTCCTGGAAGTTCCTTGGGTTCAATTCAAGCTAGTTTATGCCTTCCTTCTAATGAAGTCACTGCCTCGACTGCTCCGCAAGATGAAGAATGAAGAGGTTCAGGTGATTCTCGTTACACCAGATTGGCCCAGAAGAACGTGGTACACAGACTTCTGGTGGACGAACCTTGACCTCTTCCAAACAGACCAGACCTACCAGCCCTAGGATATCTATTCTATCCTGGCTCCTTTTTATAATCTAAGTCCTGAAGTATATGCAACGTTTCAGATTTTGGTATTCCCACCTTACTCAGAGGAAGAAAATCCAACTCTTGTAAGATTGACCTTTGCATATGGAATGGCTTACTTTGCCTTGTGCGAATGTCACATATTTTGGACTTTCTTCAATCTGGTTTTGACCAGCGTCTGGCACTGAGTACTCTCAGGGGTGTGTCTGCTTTACTTTATCCATTTACTTTCAGAAACCTCTTGCCTTGCAATCCCTCATCAAGACTTGTTATTCAGGGAATTGCTCATTTTAATACTCCAATTCAAACTCTTGTGTGACCTTGGCATCTCAGCCTGTTGCTTTTTACTTAGAGACCTGCCATTGAACCAATTAGACATATTTCATTGGAAGGCCTCACTTGTAAAGTTGCCTTCCAGGTAGCCATTACATCTGTTATCTGTGTTTCTGAGTTGGCAGCTCTTTCCTGTAAAGGTCCCTTTCTTACAGAAGGACAAATTGGTGAAACCAAAACTTTCCCTTATCTTGCCCCAAATATACGGAAATCACCCTAAATTGCCTAGATGTGGTCAGAACTGTCAGGATCTACCTGAAGGTCATAAGGCTGTATTCACAAGAGTCAATTTTTATCCCACCTGAATTGTTAAGCGAATTAGGCAATTCATTTTTAGGGCTTGCGTTCTAAAGTATAGAGTTCCTCCTTTCCCTATTAGAGCCTATTTCAACAGGGCTGTTGATGTCTCTTGGGCTTTTCAGCATCAAAACATCTGCTTCCCAGATTTGCAAGGCCACCATCTGGTACTCTGTTCACACATTTTCAGACGGAAATTCAGGCTTTGGCTGATGCAAGGTGCTTTAAACTGTCATCCGTGTGTGTGTGTTTTTTTCTTTGGGTTCTTTAACCCTTGTCTTGTGGTCCTGTTAGCAGTCCTGTTAGCTATGTTGTTACACAAACCTCTGCTTATTGTTCAGGGAAATCCCATGGCCTTTGACTACAAGTCCTGTACTGTATAATTAAGATTTGACTTGCATGTAAATTTGTGGAGTACAGTACAGGACACAGGCCCTTTCGCTTTGTATCCTGATCACCCTTTATTGCTTGCTAAAAAGCTTGAGTCTCACTGAGTGGGTGGGGTTATATGATTCGCTCTGGAGGTAGACCTAGCAAGTGTCCGATCACCTGGGTGCATATAACCCATGGTCTAAGAATACAAGTACTGTGCTCCAAGATAAGGCATACTGTATTTTCTGGTGTATAAGATGACTGGGCATATAAGACGACCTACTTTTCCTGTTAAAATATAGGGTTTGGGCTATACTCGCCGTATAAGACTACCCCTCTTCCAATGCACACCAAATAAAAATTAAAAAACATCAGATTTGATTTCAATATGGTATGGTATTCCAGTGATGGGGTGCTATTCCTCCCACTGACACCAATGATGGGACACGATTCCTCCCACTAACACCAATGATGGGACACAATTCCTCCCACTAACACCAATGATGGGACACTATTCCTCCCACTGACACCAATGATGGTGCCCCATCATTGGTGTCAGTGGGAGGAATAGTGCCCCATCATTGGTGTCAGTGGGAGGAATAGCGCCCCATCATTGCAGTCATGGGAGAGAATAGCAGTGGGAGGAATGGTGCTCCATCATTGGTGTCAGTGGGAGGAATAGTGCCCCATCATTGATATCAGTGGGGGGAATAGTGCCCCATCATTGATATCAGTGGGGGGAATAGTGCCCCATCATTGATATCAGTGGGGGAATAGTGCCCCATCTTTGGTGTCAGTGGGGGGAATAGTGCCCCATCTTTGGTGTCAGTGGGGGGGGGGGGGAATAGTGCCCCATCTTTGGTGTCAGTGGGGGGGGGGGGGATAGTGCCCCACCGTTGGTGTCAGTAGGGGGGAGAAATAGTGCCCCATCGTTGGTGTTGAGGGGAGGTAGTGCCCCATCGTGGTGTCAGGGGGGGGGAATAGTGCCCCACCGTTGGTGTCAGTAGGGGGGGAAATAGTGCCCCAGTGGTGTCAGTGGGGGAGGAATAGTGCCCCATCGTTGGTGTCAGTGGGGGGAGGAATAGTGCCCCACCGTTG